TGTGCCAGGGAGGCGGCTAAATTCTTTTTTCTTTAGAAGAATGGACACTGGGAAGGGCAGCAGGCTGTCCCTGCCACCAGCCTGAGCACAATGGAGACGATCAGAGGGGGAGCCGCCCTGACACACCACCCACCCGCCCTCCTCGCCCACCGCCAGAGAGGCCCCGGAATCCACGCCTGTGAAGGTTAATATGCAAGGTGTCCGGCTGGCAGTCAGGGGACGTCCAGCATCAGCCCCCTCACCATCTCTTTCCAGGGTTCCAATTTAATGAAGGGGATTAAAGTAAGGAAAACAACAGGGGCCGTTGTGCTCTGCTGTGAATAGAAAAGCCACACAAGGGAAGCTTTCATTTATTTATTTATTTAAATGTTGCTTTGCAGATTTTAACAGTCCGCAGAAATCCAGAGCTGAAATGGGTTCCATCAGCGCATACAAAGGAGGACTGTCTTAAAGGGACAGACCCTCTTTTCCAAGCCAGGGGACCATTAATGAGCACATGGCCAACTCTGGTCAAAAACCCTGCAATCCCCGCTCCACTGGCCACAGGCAGATGCCCAGTGACACGCCATGAAATTTCACTGAAAATGCAGCCCTCTGGCAGCAGGTTCTGCTCACGGACACATGGCAGCTGCCACCCAATGGACCACAGTGTCCTCTGGCAGTCTTAACTCCCCATGGGTCATGAAAGTGTCCAAAAGGCATGCTTTAGGACCTAGATGCCATTCTTTGAGGTCATCCTGCTACCACCAGATAAGAAACCACTTATTTTTACCACCATAATTATTAACTGGCATCCTTCCTATAGCCCCTGCCTTTCAATGGATAAAAAGGGTCCACATTTAAACCAGTACTGCAGAGAAACATTCTAAAAAGTAATTAAGAAGCGAGCCTAAGTGTCCCGAGAGGCCTACTGTTCTCTCACTTGTGGAGAAGGTAAATACACGTAAGGTAACTAGCTAGTTAGAGCTCTTCCTAGGGCAAGGAGGTCATGGCCATTTCTTCTTCAGCCCCCCAGGTGGCCTGCTCCCAGGGGTACCCTCCTGCTCACGGAGGCCACACCCCTTTACAGACCTGGGAGTTCCACAAACACTGAAAACACACATACAATTCTCTCTCCTGTGTGAGACCCTAGCAGCAGCAGCAGCAGTGGCAGCAGCAGCAGCGGCGGAGAAATAAAGCAGCCAGCTTTCTATACACTGCAGAAACTGCCACTTGCTTGGGGGGGACAACTGACTACCTACAAACTGGGCTTTTAGGTTCAATTTCCAGCAAATTTGGAAAACCACCTCCAAAGACACAGCAATCGCAGGGCCTGCAGGGTAAAGAAAACTGAATGTTCAGAGCAGCGGCGACAGCATTCAGCACCCACTGATCACACACCTGTAGATCCCGCTAGTCAGACCCTGAACAAAACGGCATATTCGCCACCCTCTGCACCACCCTATGAGTGTTTCTGTCTCCCAGGAAATCCCAGTGATTTGTAATTTGAAAAACTTCAAAATACTGGGAAGAACTCAGGCTTTGGAGACATACCAATGTTTGGCCAACTCCTAACCTCTCTGGGCCTCAGTTTTGTCCATCTGTAAAATGAAATTACCATGCTCAACTGTTGGCAATGTTGTGAGGAATAAGTGAAGGAGAACAAGATAAAATAGCTGGCACAAGCAGGTTCCCAACAAATGCCAAGTTTCTTTCCTTTATCTAATTATCTAATCTTCCTCTTTTGTTTCTTTCTACCTATGTCATCATTGACTCATTCAATACATTTACTGCTTGCCTGGAAAGTGCAAGGCCATGGGGATACAACATCGAAGAGCCAGATCTGGGTCCTTCCTGTAGGAGGGGCAGTCGCAGGAAACATCTGCAGGTGCAAGGACAACTTCAGGAGCATGTGTTAAAGAGGGACCATGAGGGACACCATGTGAGTCCACAGCAGGGGCACCTCACCCAACTTCTGGGGCTAGTCTGGGGACTGCCACTCTACATGTCGTGGTCCTGGGGTCCTAACCCCAGTCTAGGTCCATGCTCACCTGCTGCGTGACCCTGGGCGAGTTACTTCACCTATCTGTGCCTCAAAGTAAACAGTAAGATAAGAGGTTGCTTCCTGAGTAGGATGCTCTTTAAAACAGACTACAGCTTTTACATTGTAGGAGAAAAACACAAATCACCCTCAGCAGTACAAAATCTGGTAAGTTAAAAACCGAAGTTGAGAAGTTTGTGCTGTGAAGCATGGTTAAGAACTGCGGGCAAGGCAGCAAAGAGAGGAAAAAACCAGCCAAGGACTCAAAAGATAAAGTTCTTATATAGATGATGACTACACTTGGAGAACAGGGTGGTTTAGGAAAATTTTTTTCTCCCTAAGAAAAGTAATTTTCAACTTTCACAAAACTTTCAATTCCATGCTCACATTTCAAATAAGATCTTTAAGACAAGGATGAGAATGCAACCAAAATTCAGAGTAACTTTCAGGTAAAAGGCAACAGAACAGAAATATAAAACAAAGAGCTTATGATTCCAAGATTTCACTGAAATCCTTAAATTTAGAGATAGGCCTCAGGATAATTGTTAGGGATCATAGCATGTGGGAAGGTACATAGAGAAAAGGGGTGTGACTGGAGCCCTGAGACCAGGGTGACACATTTTCTGCCAATAACAAGCAGATGAGTTCACTTCACACCTTTACAGAAATTCTCTCAACTTTGGGAAACCAATTACATTTCCTTTCTATTGAGTAAAAACCATAGCAATATTTTCTAAAATTTAATACAACATCATTCAGCCTTAAAAAGGAAAAAAAATTCTGATACATGCTACAACATGGATGAGCCTTGAGGACACTGTGCTAAGTGAAATAACCCAGTCACAAAAGGACAAATACTGTATGATTCTACTGATATGCGGTGCCCAGGGCAGCCAAATTCATAGAGACAGAAAGCAGAATGGAGGGGGATGGGAGAAAGAAAGGGGAGTTGGTGTTTTTAATGGGGACAGAGTTTCAGTTTTGCAAGATGAAAAAGTTTTGGTAATTGGGTTGTACAACAATGTGAATATACTTAATACCACTGAACTGAAAATGGTTAAGAAGATAATTTTTTTGTTATATGTATTTTACCACAATTAAAAATAAATTAACATTTAGACAAGAAAACATGAAAAAATAATAAACAAAAATTTAATAGCAATATTCTAACTTCCCAATTTCTGCTTACCTTAGTCGCTTTCCCAAGAAACTATGATTTGACTTTTGTGTAGAGCACTTTAAAACAAGTGTCTCACCACCAACTTGCAGCCTAAGAGATTTCTAAAAGAATCTACACACATTACCAGGACCAAAGAATTAAATTAGCACGCAGCTAGCATAAATGGTATTCAACATGGAGAGCCAGAGGTGCCTTCCAGCTATTTGCCAATATGAATATTTAGACTATTCTAGTTTAAATTCTTTCCATGCAAAAACCATCCAGTCTCCCCAGTAGAAGTCAGTCTATTCAAGATTTGATTACCATTCTGCATTTTAAAGGAAGACTTCATTTCTGTTCTCAGGCTTAGAGACATCTCCCCTAACAACTACTCTAAGAACTACCCTAACAACTGAAATCAGAGGAGACAGCTGCCCAGGGTCAAGAGTGGGAGGAGTGGAGACACCTGCTTGGGTTTTCACTGACTACTTTCTGACCTTGGGCAGACTGTGACTTCCTCCTACCCCCCACTGTATGTAATGGGCATGTCATTGATGCAGTCCTTCTCAAATGAAAGAATGTATATTTTAAAAAACTCTACAGTCTTATAAATGAAAAGTGTTTTACTATCTTATCTTAATCCTAGAACTCAAAGACTTAGTTTGCATGTTATGATTTATCCAGTAAATCAAAGGGAAATGAGGTCACTTTTCAAGGCAGTAACAGAAACTAAGTCATAAAATTTTATCCTAAGAATGTGGTTTAGAAAAACAAAGTTAACATCTGCTTTCTATAACAGCTAAAAACTAGACAACAATTATTTGACGATGCTTAACCTTTCCTAAAACCTCACAGTGACAACATCTGATACAGCTGGGGTTTCACAGCAGCTTCTTCCTGGCACTCAGACTTCCAACGTGTGTCTCCACGGCTGCTTCTGGAAGGATCACAGAGACTGAACACAGAGCTGGGACGAGCTCAGCAGGGAAGAGCCCTCTTGTGTCACGGGCCTCCTTGAGAGAAGAGGCATGGTCCTGAAATCCAGGGAAAGCCTGTGATTCCCTCTGCCACCAAGCAAACCAAATCCTCTGTGCTTGTCCCTCCTCCCAAGAGGGCAGGAGATGCTCTTGTTCCCAGGGTGAAGCACTGCCACTCCCGTGCCTGCCAGCTGCAATCACTGTCAGCCTGCACAGCTGGGCCACCACACCCCTCCATGTTCAAAACAGAGGCTTGGTGGGGGTTTTAAGAGTCAATTCTCTCTCATTGCACCCTCATTCCTAAAACCTATTTGTATGCCGGGCCTTTGTAAAGCCCTGGATTTTTCTGTACACTTAAACGTTCTCCCTCGGTCTAACAGCTGGAAAAGACCCCTGGATCAAGTTCAATGTATAATTCCAACTCCTTTTCTGTGTGTACTTCTAGAAAGAAGGTTACCCATGCCCAGGAAAGGTTCCAAAGCCCACAGGGAGTGAAACAGAAACTCCGTGGGCGGGCAGGCCTACAGGGGAAGAATCACCCCGAATTTGCCCCTTTGCTTTCTGCCACCCTATTTCTAACCTCACCAAAGCCAGAAAGGAAATTGGTTATTGGCATGTTCCTAAGTCTCAAGCCTAGAAGAGACTAAACTGAATGCTTGAATACCTATCCAAAGGTGCCAGGGGAAAAACCCTTGGAGAAGAGAGCACAGAATGCGGAACCAAAGGACAGACATGCAGAGAAACATCAGCTCCCGCTGCTGGCTGCTGGGTGGGAGAAGCAGGCAGCAGCACATAACGGGGGACCCGCAGACGTGGCTCACACACCACCCACCCAGCCTCTTACCCACAGCGAGTCCCCTCTCCTACGGCCCCTGTGTCCTGGCAAGCCCCGGGCAGCAACATCAAAGCCTCGGCAGGTCGCAGTGCTCCACGTCAGAGGCCATGGTGGCTCTGTGCAGCGATGCCACAGTCCCAGGCTGCCGGGAGCTCCCACAGCTCTAGGTGCAGGGAGATCAGGAGCAAGGACAGCATGTGTGTGCCAGCACGGCAAGGCCAGAGAAGGAGGTGTCCAGAAGAAACAAAAGCCGAGCCCCGGGTGTAAATGCGCTGAGCCTGGCAGGGAAGGCTGGCTGGAGCGGGGAGCTGGGCGCGCGGAGCTGCAGCCGAGGCTGACGCGAGTGTGTGCTGCTCGCGTCCATGAATGCGATCACAGCCCGCCCCTCCTACTACCCCCATTCCCGGCCTGGGGGAGGGGAAGCACCACCAGCATTTGCTCCCAGGCTCCACGGGCTTTCTTCTCCCCCTTAGAAGCTAAACCCTGATGGCTGCCCTCACTGGAAGGATGTTAACCCTTACTCAAGATGCCCTCTCCTCACCGCATGGATACACAAGAGGCCAGATCTGGGGAGTGGATGCTCTGTCACCAAGGCACAAAAGCCCAGCCCTTGTCACTGCTCTGCACCAGGTCAGCAGGCAAAGTGGCTGACCAGACTGCTCCAACACCATCTTGGAGGGGTTCCGGAGGCACTGTCCTCTGCACCCCTCCTCCGGGGAGCCCCATGCCCTCCATCTCCATGTTCACTGCTCAAGCCCTTTTAGGACTACCCTCCTACTCAGTGTGGTATCATTCAGTGTGATATCTCCACCCGCCCACAGGGCTTTCTCCACCAGAGGCTGCAGCATCACCTTTGAGGACACTCTGGTTGGGATAAGTTAGGCAAGTGGATTTTGGGGGTGACAATGTAAGATGGCTGGGGACAAGAAACACAGCCACAACCTGAGTGCAGCAGCTCCAAGCTTCTGAGGCCTCAAGAATCACCAAGAGCACTTGTTAAACACACAGATATAGGACCCCAGTCCCCACAGCACAAGCTCCACAGGGCCAGCCTCCCCACATTAAACAGAACACAAGGTGACTGCAGACCACACTGAGAAATACAGTATGTTTCACCAACAAGGGAAGAGACATAGGTTTTTTAAACAGTTATAAAATAAGTAAGGAGGAAAAACAAAAATAAATCATTGTGGTAGACCAGGGCAGCACTGACGTTTGGCGATCATGCTTCGCTGTGGGGGCTTCCCCGTGCATTGTAGGGTGTTTAGCTGCATCCCTGCATCTACCCGCGAGATGCCAGTAGCACCCCCACGGCCATCACCTCTTCCCTACAACCAACTGTGACAACTAAAAATGTCCCCAGACATTGCCAAATGTGCCCTAGGGGCTGAAACTGCCCTGGTTAAGAACTACTGTTCTAGATAAACAACAAAGAGGGGAACCCTAAAAACTCCCCCCTGCCTTCCCTCCTTTCTAGTCTTCTGCCATTAGGAAATCACTAACAGAGGCACCCACCCCTCTGCAAGCCCTGCCCGGTGCCATGCCATGGGGGCTGGGCCCACCTGGGGAACTCGGATAGACTTCTTCATCACCAGGCAGTGCCACCAGGCCTGACCCGAATACTCTGGCTCTACATTCCAGCCTGTGTCTTTTAAGAAACAGCCATAGCATGAACAATTTTACTTTAGTGTCAAGATGGTGGTACTCATTTAAAAGAATCATACCAAGTCTTTGAAAAATTATAAAATTTTTGCTTTAAGCTGTAAAAGAACACAAGTTTTCTTTTCTTTTTTTTTTTTACTTCTTAATTATACTTTTTTTTTTCTTTTTTCATTCAGTTTAGATGACAGCACTGTCAAGGACACAAGTTTTCAACAAAAATGTGGACTGAGCATCCCAATGCCACACGTGGCTTGGCCTCCTGTTTTCTTGCCTCTCACTGTGCGGTGAGCTGTCCCACCTCTCCTCCCTGGCGCCCCAGGGTGCTCGGGCCCACTTCCTTTGCGTCTTTCTTCTTGTTTGAGGGCTCTTCTTCGCCACCCATCACAGAGCAGGACTCCCCAGTTACTTCAGCCGAGCTCCTGGCTCATTTTACATGTACTATAGCACTGAAGCTCTTCTGAGTTCTGAGTCCACTGTCTTCTGGACTCCTTCTGAGTCTACTGTCTTCTCTGCATTTGTATCATGCATTTTGCCATCTGGTCACACACCACCTTGCTCCCAGGGATTTCATGTGTACACGAAATTAAGCTCTTGCTTTTCAGTAGTAATAACTTATACTGTGAATGTTCTCACAGTACTTTGCAGTCCTAAGAGGTATACCCCTTATCTTGAGGTAACATCACTGGTTTTTATGCAAATACACATACACACACATTCCAGGGACTGAAAGATCCCAGCAGGTGAATCCCGACCTATCACTTCCTACGGAAGACCAAGTCGTCATGTGCAAGGCTCTGTGGCTCTGCCTTTGACCTGGCCAGCTTCCACTGAAGCATCCACGCTGGGATTTACTTGCAGCGTGAACCTGGACAAAGGTGTCAGTCTGAATTAGGCCCAGAGGCAGCTGGTAGCGAAGCCTGTAACTACAGTCAATTCTAGGCACAAACAACAGTACACAAGGACAGGAGCAGGCAAGAAGAGAAAAAAGTTACAAACAGAAAGTCCACAGTGTGGCTCTCCTCATATCTAAGGAATTCAGATGCCAAAATAAATTGTGGCACAGTCAAGTTCATGAAATCACAGTGACCAGAGATCAGAGAAAATGACAGCTCACAGAATAGGAATCTCAGGAATCCCAATACAGAAAATGAAACTTATTAAAAATAATTTTCTGAGACTCATAATTCAGCAATCTTTTTAAAAAAGAGGCCATCCATGTAAACAAGCACCTTATCAAGTACTCTGGAAGATACGAAGCTGGCGAGACATGGCTTTGGCCCTCAAAGAGCTCACGCATTACTATCCTTTTAACAAAAAATTAATCAGACAGCTCCTAAGTGCCAAATAAATGCTGCCCATAAGGGGCTGCTTGGGGTCGGGGGACAGAGCAAAGTGTGGCCCAGGTCAGCCCAGGACGACTGCTTGGGAGAGCTGAGACTGCCACCCAGCCTTGGGGTGGATGAGCGGGCATCCCTGCGGAGGTGGGAAGAGCAGCGCCCAGGGGCTCTGCCCGGAAGAGCAAGCTCCAGTCAGAGCCTCTGAATCGGACGCTGGGACGGCCAGCTCTGGCTGGCTCCTGCTCTGCCATCAGGTCAGGTGAGATAAAGAAAGCAGCACTTCCGGAAGAGCAAGAAGTAGTGGCACCTTGCCATGAAAAAGCAGAGGGGCTGGAAGCTTTCCAGTGGTTGCAAGGGTTGCAAAGGGATGCAGGGCATTTGTCCAATGCGGTAAAAACCGGGTCAGAAGTGGTAGCAAAGAAGTGTTTTTTCCCTCTACTCATGGCTCACAGCTTTGATTGCCATCCTCACCCAATACGGATTCCCCAAACGCCACGGTCAACTCCCCACCTTTCCTCAGTTATGTCTCAGGCAGGCACAGGACTCTGGAACCAGATTGTGACCCTCTGACACGTGTATGAGGGGAATGGGCATCAGCCACTTTGTTTCCCTGACAGCCTCTGAAGTGGAAAACAAGGTGCAGAGGCTACACTAGTACCGTGCAGCATCTCAAACCCACTAATCCACATGCTGCTCAAAGACCCTCAGTGCAGAAGAGGCCTACCCAGCCCCAAATTACCTGGGCCACAGGTATGATAAGCACCAACAGGCATGATAAGCACAAGGCCTGTAGGCCAGTCTTAGGGTCCTAATCTCCCCTCCTTCGGTGTCCCAGAGCCCTGGAGTTTTTTTTTTTTTTTTAATTCTACTCCATTCCTTATACTTAAAAATGCCTTGTTATTCTTTTGTAAGAGCTAAACGCATAAATTGCTTCTTCAAAGAAGCAAAAGCCAGGTCTTGCTCCTGCTGAGAGGGGAATGAAGATCTCTTGGGGGGGAATTTGTTTCTACTCCCCCCTGAAAGTAGGGAACTGCCTCCAGGATCAGACATCACACACTGCAGGTAGGGTGCAAATTCATGCAACATTTGGCACTACCAAAATGTAAAATGCACACACCTTTTAATTTGATGTGAATCAAATTTAAGATTCTTTTTTTTTTTTTTTGAGACAGAGTCTTCCTCTGTTGCTCAGGCTGGAGGGCAGTGGCATCACTGTAACTCACTGCAGCCTCCAACTCCTGGGCTCAAGCAATCCTCCTGCTCAGCCTCCCGAGTAGCTGGGACTGCAGGTGCCACCCACCACACTCAGCTAATTTTTTTCTATTTTTAGTAGAGACAGGGTCTTGCTCTTCCTGTGGCTGGTCTCGAACTGTTACCTCAAGTGATCCTCCTGCCTTGGCCTCCCAGAGTGCTAGGATTACACGTGTCAGCCGCTGCACCTGGCCAAGTTTAAGAATTTGAGTCTTAAATCCTATTTAAGAGTTTACCCAGATGGGTGCAGCAGCTCATGCCTGTAATCCCAGCACTTTGGGAGCCTGAGGTTGGAGGATCACTTGAAGCCAGGAGTTCCAGACCAGCCTGGACAACACAGCGAGATCCTTTCTCTACAAAAAATTTAAAAATCAGCCAGGCAGTCATCTGTAGTTCTAGCTACCTGGGAGGCTGAGGCAGGAAGATCACTTGAGCCCAGGAGTTCAAAGTTATAGTGAGCTATGATCACATCACTGCACTCTAGCCTGGGTGACAGAGCAAGACTCATTGTCAAAAAAAAAAAAAAGAGAAAAAAAAGTTTACCCAATGGATACTGTCTCAAAATCACAAAATTTGGAAACTACTTAAACACTATTTGGTGATTAAAAGAATGGGGTGATACGTAATGCTAATATAAAAAGATCTCTAAGACACATTGAATGAAGCAGGAATATACAGATCACTGTGTAAGGATTCCTTCTCGAATGTGACACACGTGCTTGGTAAGTGCACAGGGCTTCTGAGAAGGACTCACTTGACACCACTGGCAGTAATCACCTTTAGAAGGACCGACTATGGAAGGGAGTGAGGGCAGGCTTTGACTCTTCCTTTTCTGCCTTGCTGTATATTTGGACCCATAACTAACACAAAATTTGATGTTAAAACTTCTATTCAAAGAAAACACAGAAATGCTACCAGCCACTTACATTTGCTCAGGTTGGTGCTAAGTATTTCTTTTGTGGAAGAAATCCTTAAGTTCTATTCTAACGTCCATGAGATACCTGTTGTAACAACACCCATTCTGCTATAATTTCACATGTGGTCTTTCATCTGAATTCTCTGATTCAGAACCCTGACTCTTAACAGAAAATACAAAGGGAAAGAGACTTTAGATGCCAGAAAGAAAGGAGAATCAGAAACAGCCACTGACTCAGAAAAGAAATTCACTGGATCTTTTTTAGGTCAGAAGTTGAGCTTCCATGATTCCTCAGCAGAGGAAGGAAGAACATGACACAAGTCAGGAAGTTATCTTCTGGGCTGGGTGTGGTGGCTCACGCCTATAATCCTAGCATTCTCGAAGGTGAGGCAGGAGGATCACTGGAAGTCAGGAGTTTGAGAAGAGCCTGAGCAAGAGCCAGACCCCGTCTCTACTAAAAAATAGAAAAAATTTGCTGGGCAACTAAAAATAAAAATAAATAAATAAAAAAAAACTAGCCAGATATGGTGGTGCATGCCTATAGTCCCAGCTACTCAGGAGGCTGAGGCAGAAGGATCACTTGAGCCTGGGAGTTAGAGGTTGCTGTGAGCTAGACTGATGCCACTGTACTATAGCCAGGGCTACAGCGAGGCTCTGTCTCAAAAACAAAACAAACAAACAAACAAAAAACGCTATTTTCTTAAGGAATATGCTAGGATGAGTGCTCGCACACCAGCTGATCTGTAGGGCAGCAGGACTTGACTTTTCTGTCTCCATTTTTTCCCCTAGTGTTTTACCTAGGTCTAGAGAATCAAACACACCATGTAGTCAAGAGAAAAACAGAAAGGTAACTATTAATAGTAACATATGAAAGCATGAGACCATTCTATCTCAACAATGGCCGGTTAACTTAAATTCTTGGCTGATGTTGACTCTGTTTTCAGAGAGTCCCCGAAGAGAAGAACAGAGACAAGAATGCCGTAAATTCAGTAAAGTTGCCTTTGGAGGGCTGTCAAATCCAAGAGGGGCCACAGCAATGGCTTTTATTTGCAGAGCTGACCAGGGCTGGACTAGATAACTTCTGAAGCACCTCATGGCTTTAAATGTCCATAATTACGTTGCTTTAGGGTCTCTGTCTCAGCTAAATACTTCATGGCTCCATCTGCAAGATGAAACCAATCTGAATTCCTTACAAGTTGAAGTTCTTCAGAAGGTCAACAGGAAAAGATGGCAGTTACAAGAGTCCTTTTCTAAAAAGGAAACCTCAGCTGAGGTGAAAACAAACAGAAAGAAGAACAGAGACGAGAATGCCGTAAATTCGGTAAAGTTGCCTTTGGAGGGCTGTCAAAATTCAAGAGAAAATGAGAGATGGATACTATAAAAAAATTCCAGAAGGTCTAGCCCTCCATCTGTGATTTAACCAGCAGTAAACTGTATGTAGGCTCTGTCAGGGCCCAGCCACAAACATATTCCAGCAAACCTGTCTGAACCACAGGCGGGGCGGAACAAAAACTGAAATGTCTCCTGTTTCCCCAGGCCACTCCTGCCCCATCTCCGACTCCTACTTGGACCTACAGCACCTAACTTTGTCCTCACCTCAGCTGACCTCTCTGCAGGCTGAGAAAGGCTCTTACTACCTCAGATCCTTGCCCGCCAAGACCTACAATAACTGCCTTTTCTTTCCATTAATGTTGGCTTCTTAGAACATTCCACCTGCTGCCTTCCACATTCCTCCTGTCTAACTGGACTTTGGGTCATGACCAGCCACTCCTATATTTTTATTAGTATTAATATATGCCATAACTAAGAGAAAACCTGGCAGGCTACAGGAAACCTCAGACAATGGAGAAAAGTAAACTTTTTTCAGAGGGGCAAAATCTAAGCCCTTGTTTCTATTCATTGCCTTCATTAAGAAGAAAGGGCAGTTCTAACTCTCTGTACAACACCACGAGAATTCATCTCCAGTATATTCAGTAGGAAAGCCTTTAAAATTCAGAGCAAGTCCCCTTCAAAACTTGTCACAGCAGATGGTGATGCAGGTTTCTTGCTATGATGTGTACTTCATATAATGCCAAACATGCTCCTGCTTAAAAATAAAGATGTAACCATTTTTGATTCTGCAAAATACAAACCCAATCCATAAGGAAGGGAGTGAGAAATATTTATGGGGACATTCATTTATAGTTACAGTGCCTTGGGCATTCCTGCTAATACTTCAACCTAAGCAACTGTCCAACTCCAGGATAGCACAATCCCAAGGAATACAGTAAAAGAATAGGAAAATGTAGAAAGTTAGTATCAAGGATATCATTTTAGATGCAACCTGAAAATCCGATGTCCCATTAGAGAGGCACCATACTTAATTCTATTTGACATATTTTCCTATAAATAATACTATTTTAAACTCATATGGTATCTTACAGCTTAAAATGTTTTTTCATTTCCATTTTTCTTAACTTTACAGCATAGCTCAACTATAAACTCTGCAAATTTCCTGACGTTAAACTATGCAGTGTTCCCACCAGTTTACAGATGAGGTAAAAGGCTCAAAAGGTAATAACTAATCTACCTAAGGTAACCGCCAACAGATGGAGCCCCTCAAACTCAGGGTCACTGGCTGCATCCTCAGCTCTTTCTTTTCTCTTACTGGGATACACGGATTTACTTCAGCTCAGCATTTATTGAGCATCTGCCACAGGCGCAGCCTGTGCTTGGAGCTGGGATTTAAATAGATGCAGTCCCTGCCCTGCCTGGAACGTGAAGGCCCATGGGGAGAGGCATGTAAGCCAACAGCGACACACTAGGCCACTGAGCAGTCAGAGAACACCCAGGCACACCCAGAGGCTTCAGAGAGGGGCCAGCCTCTGTGCCAGGACTTGAAGGACCAACAGAGTCCCCAAATGGAGAATCAGATAAAATGGCGCACACCGAGCAAGGTGAGGTGCCTGGGGAGTGACTGGGAGCCAGGGACGATGGCCATATCACAGGTCAGGCCCGGGGCACAGCTGGTACCAGAAAGAGGGCTTAGTGTATGCCTGTGAAGGGCCTCAGGGCCCACACCAAGGAGTCTGGATTTCATCCCAAAGAGAGGGTTCAAAAGCAAATCAAGGGGAACTAACTGATCAAAAAGATAAGATTAAATAGCAAAAACCCCCAATGTATAGCAGTTAAGAAAATGGTGCCCAATTAATTTCGCTGGTTAATTCTCGCTTACACATACACATGTAATACTGGAATGAAAATGGACAACTGTATGCACCAGGTAAGGATGGAAACAGAAAGCAACATGTTTGACTTAAGGATCGTGGGTTTGAGATTAGTGCAACAGGAAAGGGTCTGGCCTCCTTAAAGAATATTTTCCAAAGCTCCCACTAACCCTTTCTTAGGTGTGCTCTTCAGGGCAGTAGATCCAGTAAAAGCACCTCTATGAGGAGCAAAATCCTGATGCTTAACTTCTGTCTTCCCCTGGGATCTAGGGGACCTGCTAGGGGAAACCCCATTTGTTCTCTTTACTCTCACACTTGCCTAAACACCATTCTCTCCTCTAAATACCTAAGGTGGTTAGAAGGGCAATGTTGTCCCTCTACTGCCTCAAACAGACAACACCCTAGGACGGGATAAGGGAAATGGAGAGGCTCCGGCTTTCAGGTTACTTAATCAAAGCAAAGTTGTTCAGCAATCCAATTTCTCAAGTCCCTACCCCAAATCATGTGCCAGCCCCATTACACCCACTGTAGAATCAAATGTACACATATGGGTCAGTTTATGTTGAATTTGAAAGCCTCTAGGATGGCCAGGGGCCGAGGACATATGAGCCCTCTGACTGAGACTCTGCAGTGATTATCAGATAGCACCCGAGAGGGTCTGACACTGGGCTCACCAGAACCACGTAAGTGCGAGGGACCATGGCCAGGCCTGGCGTACCCACTGTCCCAACACAATCAGTACAGTATCCTCTCCCACTCTCACAGCGTTCCCTTCGGCAACAAAGACCTT